AAGAGAAGATGTTCGCTGCTGTTGGCCTCAGCCGAAAGTACCAAGATAGTAAGGAGTTCGGCTGGGGCCGAAGGATTAGCCTTTTTCATTTTTTCAGGATTGCGCAATAATTCTGTCATCGTCCACTCTAGTGCGCTTGATGTTGTATCTGTTCCCGCTATAAACAAATCCTAGGAACAAAAGTAAATTGCTAAATGAGAATACACTTTATTAATTTATTTTTATATACAAGTATAAAAGTATATAACAAAGAGAAAATCAATTAATAATATTCAAGGCAAAGATTAGTTAAACGAACTTACCACGAGCATATGTCTAATGTCGTCAACACTCAATTCTTGATCCTTAACAAGCTTTAAGTAGAGTACCTTTCTTTAACATCTGTTGGATCTTGCAACCTTTCGATAATAATTTCCTCAAAAATTCCAAGCAGCTTCTTGAAGTAACCCCTTGTTCTCTTTAATGCTCCCTGCAAATCCAACTTCTTAAGTAACGGGAATAATATACAACTTTAAATTATGCAATATTTTTTGGTTAAATCTGTGCATCGTACGGGCATTAATCTAATATATCCTAAATCTATGACAAATATTATCATTCCATAATATCGATCACAACAAGTTATCTTAAAAAAAATCACTTTCAAATAAGTTGCAAGATTCCAAACGAAACTTGTATCTAGCCGCGTCACATTTGTCCATTGTCAAAAATGTATGTGCTGTTTTTTTTTTTGTTGTCTGAATTAATAATTGCTTATGTCTTTAATGACAATAATAAAGTTCCGTTGGTATTTTTAGATTTCATGTTGGTATAATTACTATACCATCCAATATGAGGTCTAAATATACCAACAAGATTATTGGTATTTTTAGACTTTATGTTGGTATAATTACTATAACAACATGAGGTATAAATGTACCAACATACACTACTAGAATGACAATAGTAATTATGGGCATGGACTTTCTCGTTTTATTTGGTCACCATAGCCGGCTGTAGCTAGAAATCAAAACAGAACAGTATGTCTGAATAATCCTGGGCACCGTGCCGTGCCGGGCCGCCGCGGGCCGTGTCTGGCGGGCCACGGGCTGGTTCGTACCGTGCCGGTCGTGCCGGCGGGCCCAGGATTTCGTGCCGTGCCGTGCCGACCATTTTCACAGGCCAGCCCACGGCACGGCACGACCCTCGTGCCTGGCGGGCTCGTGCCGTGCCGGCCACGTGCCGGCCTGCGGGCTGGCCTGCGCGGGCTGGTGCAGTTTTCTTTTTTTTTTTTTTTTTTTTTTTTAATGACAACATTATAAATTAATAAGTTTATAATGTATATAAGTTATAAAATTATAATTATAAGTTTTATAAGGTAACTTATAAGTTTATAACTTATAAGTTATAAGTTATTAAGTTATGAATTTTATAATTATAAGTTGAATATTTATGTTTTATAATTTGTATATTCAATATTTATATTTATATATTTACTTTATACTATTACTTTAAAATTTAATGTTTATGATTTATTAGTAATTGGTATAATTTTTTTTTTTAATATGAATTTACAAATTGTAACAAAACGGGGAAAAAAGGCAAATTGGACTTTGGATGTGAATAATGCGTACTTTATATTATTATTACTTGAGTTGAGAAAATTGTACAATGATAACAATGATAAAAATCATACAATGATGGTATTAAACAAAACTTGGAAAATGATAAAATTGATATTTTTAAAATCGTACAATATACAATAATTGTCTATTCTTCTTCTCCTTCTTCTTGCTCGTCTTCGTCTTCGTCTTCGTCTTCGTCTTCGCCTTCGCCTTCAAGGTCATCGGCTAGTTGCATAGATTGGGAACTAGCCGAACCCGAACCGGAAGCGGAGGTTCCTTCTTCGTTGTCGTTGTGTTCGTAAGAACGGTCTTGTGAGCGATTTTCCGCATCCAACCAATCTTTGAAACACACGCACATTTCTAGTGTTTCGGGTTTTAGACTTGTTCTTCTATCGTCTAAAACCCTTCCGGATGCGCTGAAAGCTCGTTCGGAGGCGACGGAGGAAACTTGGATAGCAAGAATGTCTCGTGCCATTGCCGCCAAAGTTGGATGCTTCGAGCTTTGTTGTTTCCACCATGCAAGGAGGTCGAGGCTGTTTATCTCATCGTCGTCCATGCCTTTGGTGAAGTCGTAACTCAGGTACATCTGCAACTCCGAGACGTCGCTTTGCGTTCTCCTGATTGATGAATCACCTGAAAACCTTGAAATCAAGTTAGTAGCTTGTGAAAATAAATGTTTGGCCTTCTTACTTACGTTTTTGGATGGTTGGGAAGGCCCTGAGCGAGGAACGGTGCCATATTTGGCTTCATAGACTCTATATAAAGCAAAAAACTGATCCTTCACATTAGTCTTATAGTTTTCTACATCATCGTCAAGAAACATGCATTGAAAGTAAATGTCAACTAACATAAATGTGTTTTCATACTTTTGCCTAGGATCTAATATGGAAGCAAAAATATAAATCAAAGGAATCTCACTATAATATTTACGCCACTTTTTTTCCATTGCTGGAAGATACTGATCATAATCACTTTGATCGCGATGATCAGCGAAAAGTTGGGCGAGTAAGCATGCATTAGAAAGAAAGTTTTGAGCACAAGGATTGTAAACAGTAGAAAAACAATACGTCATGTTATATAATAACTGTAAAAATTGCATATATCTTTCACAGTTATTCCAATCATCATCATACAAAGCATTTTGTGGAAATTTTTGGTTGTAAAATAATGTTAACGGGCCCTTGTACTCAATTGCCTTTGTTAACATGTCATAGGTGGAATTCCACCTAGTTGGGCAATCGGTTCTAATTTTTATTACCCTTATCTTTTGTTGTTTTAGAAAACTCTTCCATTCTTGGTATCTCATGTTAGAGCTATTAATAGACATAATAGCATCTCTGATTTTGCTGTAGTATGGGCCAATTGCCCGAACTCCATCCTGTACACATAAGTTAAGTACATGGCAAACACATCTAGTATGAAGAGCTTCACCGTCTAATAGTACATTGGTTAAGTTTTGTTTGATAAGATTAGCTGTGTATGTCATAGAGGTTGCATTATCAAAAGTCATAGACATCATTTTATCTCGAAGGTTGTATTCGTCTATTGCTTGCATTAAATGGTGAGCAATGTTAATGCCGGTGTGTGGGTATTCTAGCATTTTGAAATGTATTATTCTTTTTTGTAACATCCATTGATCATCTACCCAATGGCAAGTCACACATAAATAGTGATATTTATAACCACTATCCCAAGAATCGGCTGTTAAAGATACTCTACAGTTAAGGTTACTCAATTCGGCTTGTAACCGGACTTTGTACTCTAGGAAATTTTTCATTGCGGCGGAACGAACGGTTTTCCTAGAGATTCTTTTATGTTGGGGTTGTAGTGCTTTGTTAATGTAGGTGTTGAATGCGTCACTTTCCGAGAAAAGAAAAGGTTGTTCGGCGTGTACTATCATTTTTCCTAGTTCAACCCTATCCCTCTCATAGTTGTATGTAAAGCCGTATGGATGGAATTGGGAAATTTTGGGCTGGGTTGGATCACTAGCTGGTTTTGCACAAGCTTTCATGTGTCTAGATAAGTGTCCCGTCCCGTTTTTGGTAACTGCCGTGAATACACTATTACATGTTTTACATTTTGCCCATTGTTCACCATCTTTACTTAGGACAAAATAATGCCATACCTCACTCCTTCGGTTTTTCAAAAGTAGCATCTCAGTTTCGGTTAACCATTCATGATGTGTGTGATGGTTAGTAGGGGGACTAGTGGGAGTGGCAGTAGAAGGGGTAGAACCGGAGGGAATTCGGGTACTTTCTTGGCTACCTTGGCTAGAACAATAGTTTTGTTGATTACCGATATAATTAGGTGGAAATTGGTATGGTGGTAGTGGAAATTGGTTTAGTGGTGGTGCTGGAAATCCCGACGTATTATATGGCTCATAGCCTGGGGGGAAGTAAATGGGGTCATTGGTTTGACTCGTAATTTGGGGGCTCGTTGTATTTGGTGGTTCCCTAGAACTACTACTACGGATAAGTCGGCCTTTCCCCCTAGATGATGGGTTGTTCGATGCCATAATTAACAATTAATTTTTTAATAAAAAGTGGTTAACTATAATAATAATAATTAATAACAACAATTTTAACAATAAAAATATCAATAATAATAATTAATAACAACAACTATAACAATAACAATAAAAACAAAAATAAATAATAATAACAACAATTGTAACAATAATAATAATTAATAACAACAATTATAACAACAACAATAACAATTAACAACAATAATAATTAAACAAGATTATTCTAATAATAACAATAAAACAATAATAAATTTAAGATTAGTTTAGATCTTACAACCGTGCTTCAACGCTCCACTAATTACGATTACGAACTTTTTAATTTTTTCCGATATTAGGAAAATAATTAGAGAATTTAAGAGAATAATTAGAGAATTTAAGAAAATAAGGATTATTAGAGATTTAGAGAATATAAGAGATAAGAAGAAGAGATTGTGATTTTGTGATTTGGGAATGAAATGGAGGTGAGTATTTATAGAATTTTTGGCAAAAAACTAGCCGTTTTATAGCCGTTGGCCCGCGGGCCGTGCCTGCGGGCCAGCACGGCGGGCCATGCCCGTGCTCGTGCCTGGGAATTCTCCACTGTGTCCGTGGCACGGCCCGTGGCACGGAAGTTGAACTTCGTGCCGTGCCGTGCTTGACTTCGGGCCGTGCCGGGCTGCGCCGAACGACGGGCCGTGCCGGGCGGCACGCGGGCCAACCCGGCCCGTGCCCAGGTTTATGTCTGAATGATCAACTTTAATTTGAAACTTTAGTCTCTATCCGCAATATCTGTCTCTGTAGTTTATTGTACATGTCAAACATGCATGAAACATGTGATATATAGAAATGTATATTTTTATGTACGTAATTTCATTTCCCTAAAACCAAAATAAAAATAGTATGGTACGAAGTACATATTTAATTTACTATTTAGTTCAGTGTTTGCACACAATTAAAATACGAATCTTTATCCCATTATTTAGCTCTAAACATTTCTATCAACTTTATTACTACGGTACATACGCCACATGGCCCTCATGATATGATAAATGATGCCAAAAAACATGGCATTGTCACAAAATTTAAATTTATGAGATGATCACTTGAGAAAAGGAATAGCTTCAAGTGGATGAGCTTTTTGAAGCGTCATTCCAAACTTTTCTTTCATATCTAAATCTTCTGGATGTTCTCCATTACCATACTTCCAATTGAATGAATGTATTAGTGTAGCCAACATTAGATGCAACATCCTATAAGCTAATGGTATTCCTGGACACATCCTTCTTCCCGCTCCAAATGGTATGAACTCGAAGTCTTGTCCCTTAGCATCAATTTCTTTCTCTAAAAACCTTTCAGGTGAAAAACATTCAGGATTTGGCCATACACTTGGATCGTGACTTATCCACCATACATTAACCCATAAAGTTGAATTTTTTGGAACTAAATAGTCACATAGTTGTACTTCTTTTATAGCCTTGTGAGGTATTAATAGTGGGACCGGTGGATGCAATCTTAATGTTTCTTTCAATACTGCTTGAATATATGGTAGATTTGAAATATATGATTCTTGCATTGATCCTTTCTTGCCAAGTACATCATCCAGCTCACTTTTAGCCTTTTCCATCTTTGTTGGATTTCGCAATAATTCTGTCATTGCCCACTCTAATGTGATAGAGGTTGTATCTGTTCCAGCTATAAATAAATCCTGAACATACATTGATATATAAATTTATATAATAACCAATTCATTTTGCTTCTTGTTAATTTGAATTTCAAAAAATAATGCTTCTATATGTATTTCAAAATATTTCGTTACACCGTTATGAATAGTAATGGAGTGATCACATACACCCTAACATTAATGATCATTAATTGTCATGTTTAGGAGCTAACAAAAAAAAAAAATTATGTCGTGAAACAATTCTCAAAAGGTCAAACATAAAATTATTTAATTAATAAAACAAATAAGATGTAGACTATGTCAAACTTACTATGCTTCCACACAATGGCGGATCTTGACGACTTTTTTTTTAGGAGGCAGAATTAAAGTTCAATTTCTAAATTTTGTTTGATTTTACACTGTTTATGTATTATCTTGACATATTTTTTTTTACAAATATATAAATGTTATCATATAATATGTTGTTGGATTAATTATAATTTTTTATTAATAATTATTACTACTCATAATACCCAATTAAAGATAATGATAGTCAAAGTTATGTCTTGACACATGTGCAGCAAAGGAATTACAATGGAAAATAATACAAGCAAATAAAAATACTTTGCATTTCTAATTTATTTATTTATTTTTGACGGGCATTTCTAAATATATATTTAAGGAAAGAAGATTGTTGTTAAAGTGGGATTATTTCTGGAATAATTGAAGGTGGGATTGTTTTCGGAAGACCGACCAAACGTGAGATTATTCTTTATCATTTTTCCTTAAATATTTAGAAATGCAAAGTATTTTTATTTGCTTGTATATATACTCTTTTCCCTTTTTTTTTTTTTTTAGCCCCACTCATACTAATATTATAAAAGGGAAAGTATATAGAATTTGATGTAATTGTCTAACAAGTTACATTGAATAGTATGAAAATACTAAGGGCATGCTTGGATCGGGGGTAATATATTAAGGGGGTAATAAAAGTCGAACTTGAAAAAACATAATTAATTAGAGATGTTGTAGGATGTATACAAATGAAATAAGGTAGTTGTTTCATGAGGAAAAGAGAGAGATCGATGGAGGAATTATTACCCTCACAATGAGGGTAATAGTAATACACCCTTCTCCTAGTGTAACTATTACCCTCAAAATGAGCCTCTTTCTTCACCTCATACCTCACCATCACTACATAATTTTTCTTACAAGCACACCATCACTATCTTCTCCTTCCCTATTTACTTTCATTTTGCTTAATTTGACTTTTATTACCCTAGTAAAACATTTCTCTCAATCCAAGCATACCCTTAGTAAAATAGTCTAAGTAGATAATAAATTTTGGATCAAAATCTAGGGGGGGGGGGGGGGCAATTAGCCTTGCCCCTTAGAAGATCCGATAGTGCTTCCACATACGGAGGAGTTCCTACTTACATACGTACTTTCATCAATATTCATAAAATTATTTAACTACTACAACCTCCGTTAATTTTTAGTTGCAACAAAGGTGTATTATTTGTGAGATATCAAAAATTCCTTTGTTGCAACTAAAAGTTAACGGAGATAGTACATATAAAAGAGGTGTCAATCGGGTCGTAAATTTGACTCAAGTTGGATCAATTTTTGTTGGTTCATGTTCAATTGGGAATGTGAAGATTATTGGTTGCTTTTGGGTTTGAGTTGGATCACGTCAGTTCGTGTCAAGGCAGGTCAACCATAACATATTTGAATATACATGTTATTTATCTATTGATCTGCTAAAAGGTGGATACATATAGTGAACCAATCTAGATGGGATTATGACTCGCCCACTAACTTGGTTAGCCTTGCCTGCTAATCGGACTGGGCTACTAAAATCACAAAACTTGCAAAACTTCAATTGAAGAAACATTTTGTAAGATAGAACTTACCACAAGCATATGTTTGACTTCATCAAGGCTTAATTCATTGTTCTCAACAAGCTTGAGTAGAGTGCCTAGAACATCATCCTTAACATCCATTGAATCTTTCAATCTTTCATCAATAATTTTCTCAAAAATCCTCATCAACTTTCGAAAGTAAACTGCATGCTTCTTCAACACACCTTGTATATCCCAACGCCTAACGATTGGAAATAGATCGGACACATTAGGCCTTGCAGCGTCTTCTACTATATTCCGAGTCAGATCTCGAAACTCTTGCGATTTCGAACCACTATGGCTAGCCAAATCGATCGAGAAAAACGTGTTCGACAACAAATTTAGAGAGGTAGTATTTCCTGCCTTACCAATATCAACAGGCAGGCTATCTTCACAACGTTGTTGCACATACTCAACCAACTCGTTGACTTTTTTTTGCCTTATAACTTGGCTGTCATCGAGCCGTTGACTCGTAAATAATTGAATGGTTACGATCTTCCTAAGGTTTCGCCATTTGGGGCATACAGGGAGCCAAACCATTGAGAAAGTATCATGGTTTAACACCCTCCCAATATCAGGGATACTCCTACTAGAAAGGACTAAATCATGTTTAGTGAACATTTCTTTGGCTACTTTCGAGGATGATATCACTATTACTCTGTTGCTCCCGAGTTTGAGAGACATTATAGGGCCGTAAATTTTGGAGAGCTCAGCGATAGCACGATGAGGCTTGTCGCCGAGTTGGAGAATATTGCCTATTATAGGCCATGATTTTGGTCCCGGAGGCCAAGAAAGTTTGGATCTAGTGTGTTTTGAGAGGAAGAATGCTAGAAAGATGGTGAAGGGCAGCAAAAGGAGTAATATTGTGTAAAATTCCATAGGTATGATTTTATGGAGCATATCACAGTTCAATGAAGGATGATGAGATTCAAAATGTCACTTTAATTATTAGATAGCTAATGTTCATTACTTTATAAAAAAAAAATTAAAAAAATCTGTATTGATCTTATACTATATATAATAATGTGTTGATCTGATGAGTTATTAAGGAAATTATATATCTTAAGCAATAAAATAAGGATAGCCAATATTTTTTTTTTTGAAACAAATCAATTTATTAATAAAAAGCCATACGACATCTACAAATGAAATTTAAATTAACAAATAAATAAAATTGAATCAAATTAAGGTTTCTTACATAAAAGCTACGATCGTTAAATAGATCTTGCACTGTGGTACATATCTCGCATACATCGTTGGAATATACAGCCTTTTCGGAGAGAAGGTCTAACGAAGTGTTGTAGTCGTAAGGAATGATTTTTATCTGATTCACTTGAACGCATTTGAAAACTCGACAACCGTTGCGATCCTAAGCAAATCTTTACCAACGAACCGGTAATAGAACCAAAGATGATTACCTTTTTGATAAACCCTAACACACAAACAAACCCTAAACATAAACAAACAACTAAACAAACAAAAACTAACGACTCCACCATAGGGAGACGGACGAATTCTACACTACTCGTGTAGAATTATTGAAACTTAAATTACAAAACTAAAGAAAATTAAGAGAAAAGGGTTGAAAATAGTCTAATTTCCGAAGAGAAGAGGAGAGAAAAGGAGAGGTGAGATCATACAATGCCCTAAAAGTGATTTTTTTTTGGAGAGACCCTAAAAGAGAGGAGGGGAGACGAGATCATACAATGCCAATTTTTTTTTTTTTTTTTTTTTTTTTTTTTGAATAGTATACAATGCCAATATATAGCACGTAACATTTCATTAAAGCTCCATATTATATCATCAACAAAAATAATTATTGATGTTTTTTTAATCATTTTTAGAAAAACCATGGCAAACTATTTTCATCAAGCTTTATTTATTTATTTATTTTTATATTTTTTTAAAACATTTTGATTTATATTTTTAAAAGTACATTAAGAGGGGGAGGTCGATCTACTGTGTCATTTTTCAAAAAAAGGCATCATAACATGTTGATGTGTCATGTTATAATTGGTCAATTTTTGATTTATTTTTAAAAGCCTAAATGTAATATAATTGTAAATACATGTTTTATTTATAAAGAACACTTAATTATAGTATTTAAAAATCTATTTTCATTTTTTTAAAATCATTTTCGAAATTAAATTATAATTAAAATTTAGAAAATAAAAGATTCATCATCGTTCTTCATTCATGATCTTAATTAACCACCCTCAAAATCTTGTATAATCTAGTCGGAACTCAGATCAAAATTCCGACCAACAAGTCGTCCAAAGATCGGATTTATTGGTTTTAGGGTTAGATTGATGATTTTGATTTATGTAAAAATCAAGTTGTTTGATAGTTTTGAGGATGGAAATAGCCTTAGGAGTGTGTATTACGATGATCTAAAACACAGATCTTTCAATTTTTTTTAAAGATCAATGGATAACGAGGATGTGCTCTACGATTTAGAGTTTGCAATTTTTTTTTTTTTTTTTTGCGCAAATCTGTTTGTTCCAAAATCAAGATATGTGTTTGTAATTTGTTTGTGGTTAGGTATTTACCTTTATTTAGTTAGGTCATTACCTAAAACATTTGGTTTTAATTTGTAGTTGGAATCTGCTTGTGTAAGGCATTCATTTGTATTAATTTTGGTCATTACTTAAAAAATTAATTTTTTTGTTAAATCTGCTCATGCTTAAGGCATTTATATGAATTACCTAACAATTGCATTATATATATATATATATATATATATATATATATGGAATTCTTATCATATCATTTTAGCAAAAAAGATTTATGAAATTATTATTTTATTAATTATATTTTGGAAAAGATTTTTTTTTTGAAATATTGGGCATATAAATTAGTACCTATAATTTTGGTATATTCCTAATATAATTAGCTTTTATTCACCTTGTTGTTTTTTTTTGTTATTAGCTAGCTATTGGTCTATCTAAAAACTTGTTAAAACAAAGTGTTACTAGTATTTTGTTAAAGTAATTTGTGGAAAAATTCATAGTATCAAAACTATTTGGTCAAGAGCTTAAATTATGTGGACAAATTAATAGTTATAACATGTTTGCAATGTTTACTTAGCTTTTACTCTAATTAAATTTATATGCCACGTCACTTTATAGATGTTAACACATATATATTATGTTTTAGATAAAAAGGTATGCACCTGTAATTTTTATTAATTTTTTTTTTATAAAGTTAATTATCAACAACCTACTTTACCTACAGATATCGCTTAAGTTTACATTTTAATTACAACATTAGCAATTACATAGAAAAATCATGTAATTGTATATATTGTAATTGTTGTTATAATTTAATCGTTGTCCCTGTTTTGTTAACAACTTCTCCAACTCTTTAGCCTAGATTGCCTAAATTCCACCAACTTATACTAAATAAATAAAAACAACTTAACAATATGTTACTTCGTTAGTGGTCACTCACCCTGTATGTTTGGTATTAACCAATATTATATAGGGTAATTACCTATAAATTATACTTATTACACTAATCTAAATTAAAAAGGTCACCTTATTACAAAATTTAAGGTTCATTTACATTAAAAAGGCTACAACCTAACATTTAGGGCTAATAACTCCACAAAGAGTTATTGGCAGTAATTCTTATATGGCATATGAAATTTGCCTTATAATTACATTGTCTATTGAATGACATGCTTTAAATGGGGATTTCGTAAAGATTGAGTATTTGAGTTTATCAAACCACAATAATAGTACATACACATATATAAATTGTGATATGTCCAAGATCTTCCATTATTTAAATTCAACCAACTTTTGATAAATAAATAACACAACTTAACATTATCTTATATCATTGGTCACTCACTCTGAATTTTTTGGTTATAACCATTAATTTAGAGGGTTATTACCTATAAATTATATTCATTACAATATTCACAATTACAAAAAACACCTTATTACAATATTTCGGGTTCATTTTATATTAAAAGTTAAAGAGAATCTAATTGTTGGGCCGAATAAGTACACAAATATATTACTAGTAACAAAAGATTATTGGGTAGGAAATAAAATACAACACAATGGATAAACTGCTATGTTGGTTAGGTAATACATAAATTAAGTATAGGTGATATTGTAAACACAAACAAATTTTCAGTAAATAATTAATAAGTTTAAATTCATTAAACACAAACAAATACCAAAAAAATAAATTAAACCTTTATTTTTAAGTAATGACCAATATTAATACAGATGAATGTCGTAAGCACAATCAGATTCCAATTAAAAAAATTAAACTTTATTATTTAAATAATGCCCAAAGTAAACATAGGTAAATGCCTTAAATACAAACATATTATATATAAAATACTGTTTTCCTCGTGTAATCACCTAAAATAGTTTAGGTCATTACCTAAGCCACAAACAAGTTCGCGAACAAATCAATAGATCTTTACGGATCAAACTGAGGGGGCTCAAAAAAGAAAAAAAACGAAAGGTTGTCTTCTCCGATTATACAGTCGGGAGAACGCCCATCATTCATAATCAAGGGAGTGTAACAGTCAGCTATAATCAAGGGATTAATGGCTGAATAAATTCCTAACAATTAGAAAATCCCAATAGTAAAAAACGGATTAAAAGCTTAGGAATATTCTGTCAACAAAGAAAGGAAATAAAATTTCTCCAGAAAGATAAGAAGAACCCACGCCCGCGCATCGCATTCCCCAAGACCCCAAGTCCCGAGCCCGCCTCGACTTGCGCGCGCATGTGTGTGGTACAACACCCACCTCCAAGTCACTCAACTAAGTAGTGTTAAGACACTACAACATATAAATAAGGCAAAACCTCTCCCCCCAACCAATGTGGGACCTTTTCCCTTTCATTTATGAGTCTCTCTCTCTCTCTTGTTTTCTTCCAACACTCTTAGGGGTCGTTTGGTTCACAGAAGGGAATCGGAATGGAATGAACAAAGGGAATGAAATGGAATGGAATGGCAAAGTGGAAAATTTGGAAGGTTGTTTGTTACAAAAACCAGGGAATCATTCCCTCCACCACAACACCACCACCACAGCGCAGCTCCGACCGCCGCCGAACCCTCACAGACCTCCGCCGACCGTCGCCGGCCATCTAGCCTCCATCGCCGACCGTCGAACTCCCTCCCCGATGCTCCAGCCCCCCTCCTCGATGCTCGAACTCCCTCGCCGACAGTCGCGCCCCCTCGCCGACGGTCGCTGACCCCTCGCCGACCCTCCAGCCCCCCTCGCCGACGGTCGCTGACCACCACCGACCACAGCACCACCTCGAACTCCCTCCCCGATGCTCCAGCCCCCCTCCCCGACGCTCGATCTCCCTCCTCCACCACAGCACCACATCGCCGACCACTCCCCGGTGCTCGCCGAGCCTCCCCGACCACTCCCCGGTGCTCGCCGACAGTCGCCGTCCGACCACCACCGGCGTATATGGGTGTTAGTGTTAGTGTTAGGGTTAGGGTTAGGGTGGGTGGGGAATGGAATGGGATAGTGGGGGGGGGGTGGGGAATGGGGAAGAGGGGTTTTGGGGTATTTTGAAAAATGAAATGGGGGAATGATTGAGGGAAAAAGTGGCAAACAAACAGGTTAAAAGGGAATGATTCCCATTCCTTTTCCTGAAACCAGAGAACCAAACGCACCCTTATTTTATATCAAGAATTTCCAACAAGCCCTACTCGAAAAGTCTAAGTCATGTTTAAGGAACATTTCTTGGGCTACTTCTGGGGATGCTATCACTATTGTAATGATACTCCCTAGATTTAGGGTCATATTGGGACCATAAATTTGTGATAACTCAGCGACAGCACGATGAGGCTTGTTGCCAAGCTTAAGTATGTTACCTATAATAGGCCACGGTATTGGCCTCAGAGGAAGTTTGTTGGATTTGGTAAACAAGTTTTTTAGGAAGGTAATAATGGTTACGACGATGACGAGGAATAAGGCAATGGTGTAATAACGCTCCATTGATGTAGGAGTAGCTGCTAGGTAAAATGAGATCTAACAAGGGTAAAAATTTCACATTGATTGAAAAAAAAATCAAGGAAGTTTAGATCACTTTGTTTTATAATGAATTAAGATGACAAATGGAATCGTGTGATTTGTGTATAGGCAAGTGTATGGATGAACAATTTTAATATTGAATGGACCATGTTACCTTTTCATATTTTAATAATACACGTTTGTTTTTTCTGTTTCAAATCTTTTTCAAATATGCCCCTCTTCTTCAAAAAAAAAAGAAAAAAAAATGTTGTTATTTAATTTTTTTTCTTTAGTCCAAAACTAATGTCTTTATATTTGGTAGTTAGAACGTTATTAGTATTGTAGACATTTGATTATGGCTCCCCAAAAACCAAACTCAATGATAAGTATCTTTCACGTCTTTGATTATCGAGTTAGGTGAAGAGTTGAAGAGTCTCGTGAATTTCCCTTAAGTTATAACGAAAAAGTTATGGCCAAAATACTAAATCGAGCCCAAATCGAGCCTTACCTACGACCCAATGACCATGTGGAGGGTTCATTAACCTTAAACATCATTCCTAAATCCCTTAGGACTTATTATTAGCTTCTAGAATTTTCTAAAAGGTTCTAATTTATCCTGTTTTTGAAAAGATAAAGATTTAAGAATTTTACTTCAGATAAAACACTTGATTTTCAATGATTTAAATTCTGATAAAATTAGAATACGTACGAATATTCGATTAACCCAATTTGATTGGAAGTCGAATTCCGTACGGATTCTATCTTCTAAAAATATCGCTGAGCGATAGAAATATCGCGTCGAGATAGCGCCTGTTTGACTCCGAGTTGGATTATGACTCTTTTCTGATCCTTTGACCCTTTTTTTTCTTTATAAGTAGAGGTAGTTTCACCCCATTTTCAATCATCAACAAGCTTGATCACCAACAATCATCATCTAATCCCATCTTTCTCTAAGCTAAAAGCTTTTCTCACTCTCTTTCTAGCCTAGCCTAAACACATCCCAACACCATCTTGATATTCTCTTCAATCACACATCATATTTCCTTCACGAGCTTTGAATACTCCTAGCCAATCTCGAAAGTTGTCTTCGACCTCGTCGTGAAAGGTTGATAGTTCTTAGGGTTTGGTCCCAAATCTATATTTCAATTCTTATTTGATTTAATCTTTCTTGAACTTATTAACGTGTGTATTGTTTTGATAGAAAGAGATACGAGGCATTAAAGTGAGTAGATCTACCATCCTTATTCCTCGTTTTTTATATAGAAATCATGCTTAGAACATTATTTTAATTCCTAGTATCATGTTAGGATGCTTTTATGATTCCTAGTATCATGTTTAGGGTGTTAATTAATATCACTACTAGAAAAGAGGCCATTTCCGACGGAAAAATTCCGTCGGAAACACCCTAAATTCCGTCGGAAAACACTGTTCCGACGGAAATTCCGTCGGAACTGGTTGTCGGAACACCCTTTGTAGGTAAAATGGCCAATTTCGTCGGAACCAACTTTTCCGACGGAAATTCTGTTGGAACAGCTTTTTCCGACGGAATTTTTTCGCCGGAAAAGGAATTCCGATCACCGGAAAGTCCGTCGGAAACCGCATTAAAAAAATAAAAAAAAAACCCCGGCACCACCCCAACTACCCTACCCAGCCACCACCTCACCAGGCCAGCCACACCTGCACCCACACCACACCACCCACCAAACCAGCCCACAACACCCACACCACACCACCCACCAAACCAGCCCACACCACACCACACCACACCACACAACAAACCACCCACCAAACCAGCCCACAACACCCACACCACACCACCCACCAAACCAGCCCACACCAGAACACACCACCCACCAAACTAGCCCACAGCAACCCACACCCACGCCCCTAACCCACTGCCGGCCCACCCCAACCACCACCCAGAACCCCCCCAACCAAGACCACCACCCAGAACCCCCCCCCCCACCTTCATCCTAACCCGAAAAACATAAAATCAACCCAAATTTTTTAAAAAAATCAACAAAATTCAACCCAAATTTGAAAAAAAAAATCAACAAAATAATCAACCAAAATTTGAACAAAAAAAAATCAAACTAAATTCGTACAACACATCAACAACAAAACCAAACCAAATTCGTACATAAAATCAAACAAAAAAAATATTAATAACACAAAAACATACCTTAAAATCCAAATTGAATTCGAATTTGGTTTATTAAGGCCAAATTTGACCATGAAAAAGTCTAGATCCAGACTTTTTCATGGTCAAATTTGACCAAAAAACCCATTCATATCTTCACCAAGACTACTCACCGTCACACCATCCGCCGAAAAACGCCGGAAAAAGCCATAGGCGTATAGAAGAAGGAGAAACAGAAGGAAGGAGAAGAGAGAGAAAGGGGCGAGGAAGGAGAATGGTCGAGGAAGGAAAAAGAAAAGAGAAGGAAGGAGAGGAGAAAGAAAGGGGCGAGGAAGGAGAAATAGAAGGAAGGAGAAAGAGAAGGAATGAGAGGAGAAAGAAAGGGTCGAGGAAGGAGCAAGAGAAGGAAAGAGAAAGAGAAGGAAAGAGAGGCGTGGAGGAGAGGAGAGAGAAAACCAAAATGTTAGGGGTGGGATGGGAAACCGAGTTTTGTAGGGTTTTTTAGGTTTTTTTTTTTATTATTTAATTGAATTCCGACGGGATTATCCGTCGGAAAATTACGTTTCCGACGGATTTTATTTCCGTCGCAAGATTAAGTTTCCGACGGAAAATTCTGTCGGAATACCCGTAAATTCCAATGGATTTGTATTCCGTAAAAATTCCGTCGGAAATTTTTCCGACAAATTTTAATTCCGTCGGAAATTTCCAACGGATTTCATGTCCGTCGGAGCTAGTCCGTCGTAAATTGACCTATTTCTAGTAGTGTATTTCTAATATCATGCTTTCTAGTATCATGTTTAGGTTAAAGCTTTGATCTTTATTATTTAGCGACATGATAGGGTTTATTATTAATCCGTTTAGTATCATGCCTAGGATCTTGCTAATTATGCTTTGAGGATATTATTATGATGATGATGATTTGTTGTGTCAATTAATGATTATATGTTGCTTGATTAATTATCATTTATTGTTATTGCTTGATCACACCCTTTCTTGTAGGTTTAAAGAGGATTTGTACTTGAAATCACGCATAATAAGATAATTAATAATTTGAATTTAGGCTGATATGATTTTAATTCAAGGGATCAGCAATATTAGATTTATTTGTGCATTAATAATCAACTAACATAGATTAAACAGGTTTAGGGCTAATTTGTTGGATGTATGTTGACCGAGAAGCGCACATGAATATCATAAGAATTAAGTAGAGGCCGATTTAGGACGTGTTCAATCTCTTTTAGGTTGAATTCGTACCATCATCCCCGAATATCCAGTCATGGTTCCGGACCACTATGGAGTTAGCGATCTCCGTTATCGTAAATGGGGTGCAACCTTCACACCCGTGAACGGTTTACAAGTTTCTAAAACTTGTTGGTGACTCTTTTATCTCTAGCTTCCTTCCCTTTGGACGCCACCATGCTTAAATGCATGATTACAATGGGGCTCAAAGTTGATGTTTGAAATATTCCCTACAAGTATAAATTGTTTTTGTTTTTTTAATTAAAAATAAGTTGAGATTATAAATAACTCACTGTTGGAGAGCATTAATAAATTTGAAGTTTGTATGTCATTTGATTTGAATTGATATTTTTAATATAAGGCCTAGTTTCATTACCCATATGATTTGAATAGGGCCTCCAAAAAGGTTGGAACGACTTTGAATAGAACATTATATTATTCTCTACAACGTGATCGACTTCATCATTAATAATTTAATATCGAATTCTAAAATTGAAATATACTATTTAATTTGTAAGCAATTGAAATTTATCAATCCATTGTTGAGGTTTTTTTTGTTGAGAGGGGAGTGGGGAGGGGGGTTCGAATTCCCAAAATTTGGGTTTATATCAATTCTACAACATTAGATGTATGATCACCTTGGAAGGGCAATTGCTTGGAGTGGTTGAGCTTTTTGCAGTGTAATGCCAAACTTTTCTTCCACGTCTATATCTTTATAACTATTTGTGCCATGATATTTCCAATTGAATGAATGAAGAAGTGAAGCCAACATTAGATGCACCATCCTATAAGCCAATGGCAAACCTGGACATATCCTTCTTCCTGCTCCAAAGGGTATAAGTTCAAAATGTCGGCCTCTCACATTAATTTCTTTGTTTAGAAATCTTTCTGGTGAAAACAAAAGCGGATTGGTCCATACACTTGGATTACGACCAATAAACCATACATTCACCCACACGTGTGCATTTATCGGCACAAAGTACTTTCCTAGCTCCACAGGCTTTTCAGCTTTGTAAGGTATCAAAAATGGCGTTGGTGGGTGCAATCTAAAAGTTTCTTTCACTATTGCTTGGATATACGGTAAATTTGAGAGATCAGATTCTTGAATAAACTCATGTTTGCCAAAAACTTGTTCTAATTCAGTTTGTGCTTTTTTCATCTTTTCCGGATTACGTAGTAATTCAGTTATTGCCCACTCCAATGTGCTAGAACTTGTATCCGTCCCTGCAGTGAACAAATCCTAATAACAGAAAGATACGTATATAAATAACTTAATATTGACCCACACCAACCATGATCCAAAGTTACAAACCTTCCAATAATCGAGTCTAATTTACCTAAACCGGCCCATTTGTTTCTTAGTATAAGTGATGTAGATTTTAAAATGTTACTTCAATTTCATAAATTCGTTGTTGCTCTCTTTCAATCATTCCAATTTCAAGTCATCTACTAGTATTTGTTTCCTAGTGTTATTTTTTTATGATTGAATTTAACTTTTCTTTTTGACTCAATGTCATATTGTTTTCTACTTTCGTTCTATAGTTGTATTACGCTTTACGCACTCAATATCATTGTACTTGTAATTAATACAAACAAGACAGTAGATAAGGATTTTTTAGGCACAAAGGAAGAGTACATGTGGAAAGGAGTACTTAAGCTAGGTTTTATTAATTTATTCATTTATTGTAAGATGAAGGGGGCTCACTTAAAGGGAGAGATAGGAGTAATTCCTCAAATGAGTCCTATATGATTTGATCTCTAGACGGTTAAAATCAAGGGATACGAGGTGGGTGCAATGTCAATATGTCACTATTCTACCACCTCAACTTCAGTACTAGGATAGTTGGGTAAAGGATAGATGTGTAGGTATTACGGTATGCATAATCAATATACCCCATATATAATTAACGTATATATGAGGTTTAATTCAATTTTCAATTGTTGCACTTTTTTTTTTTTTTTTTTTGAATAATTCAATTGTGGCACTTAATTGAGGACAAACATAAATAAAAAATGTTGCAATTGAAACCGAAAGAGTATTTGGGAATATAAAATCTAGTACTTAAGGGTATCTTTATTGAGGTAAATTTTGTACATACAATAATGGTATTTAACTACTAGGCCACAACTTTTTATATGCAATTAATAGACATCAAATTACTTATAAAGAACAACTCAAAAATATTTAGGGGGGTCAGGCCCTTGCCAGTCCTAACAAAGATCCGCCCTTGTGTACATACTTTTTAAAAGTTTTTGTAAAATAATAATTAAATAATGTACAACCCTATAGTAAAAACCTAATACACTAATGACACATATCCAGTATATTATGTATATCAAAGCTCAACATTTTTAACATTTTTATGGCACATATATTCTCTGTTTTTTATTAGTTGCATCACTTTCTAAAAATGGAAAGTTTTAATTTAAATACATCACTTTTCCTATTATTTTATAAATTTTCTCTATTTCTCTTTACTCCAAAAATTGCCTAGGAACCCACGATCATAAAAGTGATGCAACTAATTAAAAAAAACGGAAGAAGTAGTAAACAAAGTTAAATGAGACTGTAAACTCTAAATGAATGAATACGGAGTATTTCTAAAATTTTATTTCCTCCGTTCTTTTTTACTCGACCTGTTTCATTTGTCACGCTTGTTAATGTAGAAATTTAGCCATTAATAACTTCTGTTTCGGGTGAAAACAATGGGACCTTGCCGAAGGTCCGCTGAAATGGAGAAGGCTGGATTCGGTCCAAGTTATGTTGGGCCGAAGGTTTCCTGCACAGTAAACACACGTAAACTAGCCTCGGGGGTGTTGCCGAGGAAGGCCCCTCCGATGCTAAAGTCAGTACAATGTGTAAGAAGAGGACACTATGCAAGAGAGTTTGTTGCTTGAGGCTTTTATGGAATATATCAGAATATATGAATGAACATATGAATCTATATCTGAATAATCTATGAATGTATCAATATTGATGGCTTTTATACCTCATCATACATGGAGAGGTTGGGCCTTAGCCCAATTGGCTTGCTTTGTGGGCTGACCTTTGACTTTAGCACAATTGGAGAGTTGAACCTTGACCTTGGGCTTTTAATTGGATCATTTAGTGCTTAGGCCCAATTGGACTAAATTGGACCCAAACAACTTGCCCCCCAGACCCGATTTGGAAGGATGACGGGTCGGGTTTGATTTAATTCAGAAAAGGAGGGAAGTAAATGATTTAATTAATCCAAAAATTTGAATTTAAACCGTAATTAATGAGATAACAACGGTTAAGGCAGATGATTGTGGAAGTTGGACGGATAATGGGCAGTTTAATCACAAGATCATGTGTTTAACGGTTACTTAGTGGAGTATTTAAGAGAAATTAAAACGCAGACTCCTCGTATCCCATTCCTGGAGATATAAACAGAGGCGCGTCATCTCTCCTCACTTATTCACCAACACAAACCCAGAATTCTCGAGAGAGAAACCAAGAACCCGCATCAAAACTTCGCAAATTCCCCGAGCATTAAGCTTAGAAACTGAGACTTGCCACTACGAACTCGTAAATCGGCAACTTTCACTTCAGATTAAGGTAAATTCCTTTGATTTCAGTTTATTTTTCTTCGAATTCGAACTCCTTCCCCTTTTCTTTCGACTTTTTTCTTCGAAATAATCAATGGCAAGAGGAGTTAGAGGTAGAGCCCGTGCTCCAAGAAGAGCAAGGCCGATTCCCGATCCTAGGAACAGGATTGGGACCTGGAATGGACAAAGGCCAGAGTCTGACCCTGCTGAAGGGATTAGGGCGACTCCCCTTTCCTCGGCTCCTCCTCAGAGAACGGAGGAGTCGAGCGCTTCTGGACGGGATGATGAAGTTCCCGCTGTCCTTTGGGATATCCTCCCCGGGTTTTCAGAATGGGAGAATGCCGAAGTTGCTTCGGCCATGATAAAGAACCGCCCCTACCCATGGTGGGTGGAGAATGCCGATCAATATCGATTGCCGAGCAAATTGAGTTGCATTACGACATTTTTGAAGCTGATGGGTATTGGTGCCGAATGCCCTCGGCATCCGATAGAATCCATCGTCCACCCCCGGGGTATGTGGGGGTGTACACAAGACAGCTTCAGTACGGGCTGAGGTTCCCTTTGGACGTATTCGTCCGAGACTTGCTGATCCATTACAACATCTCTCTATGTCAGTTAACTCCCACCAGCATCCGAAGGGTGATGACATACTTATGGGTCTGCAAGTTCTTCAAGTATGTGCCGAACCTGCACTGCTTCAAAAAGCTCCATCGGCTAGTGCCAAATATTCAAAGTGGGCACGAAAGCCATGGTTCTGGGTGGTACCGGATTGAGTCCCGGCCCTAATACCTAACCATGTGGCCAAACGACTCTTCAGACAAGGACTGGAGAGGTCAATGGATTTGGGTTAGGGCACCCACAGATCCGGGCCACCCTTGCGTCTTCAGCGCTCCCCGGTACCTCGCTGAGCCTGATCCCGAAATGGGAAGTCTAGGTCCCCCCGCAGATAACGGGGCGGATCCGAACCTTGATCAGCAACATATCTTCGGCAAGCTGCCGAACCGGGGGGGGCAGTGACCGAATGCAGCATATCCCGGAGACTTGGCTCCCCGATACGCATTACGTTTTCCAAGAGAACATGCTAGCAGCTGTTGGCCTCAGCCGAAAGTTTAAGGATGGTAAGCTTCTTCGGCTGGGGCCGAGGCTTTTTAACTATCTCTTTTTCTTCTCTCGCTTCGCTTTTTTATGCTGTGCCAACCTATCTGAACTAACCTTTCCCCTTTCCTTTTTCAGAGCGGGACGAGACCAACGTTGGCATTAACTACGCTCGTCTTGGTGTCAACCGAGAACGAGTTGTAACTGAACGGGCCCCGTCTATCACTGAGCCGAGGCATAGGGAAGTTCATCTAGACTCTTCCCACTTCCAAATTGAGGCTGTTGCTCTGTATCAGAGGCAGAAGCCTTGGTGGAAGAAGAGAGACCCCTGGTTTCAGCTGCTGGACGAAGAAGCTGAAGCTGCCCGTACAGCCGAAGAGGTTGCACGGGTTCTCGAAGCTTGCGAAGGAGGAGAAGGGTCCTCCAGAGCTGCTGAAGCAGAAGCTGCAGCTAGAGCAGCTGAAGAAGACGAGGCTTTGCTGAAGACCTCGGTGAGCTTTCAGACTTAACTTTGTCTTTCTTTTTTCTTTTTTTTTTTTTTTTTTTTTTTTTTTTACTCACATTCTTCCTCCCCCCTGTCTGTTACAGTCTGAAGAGAGTAACAGACATAGAGAAGGGAAAGCTCCTGTTCGTCCCGAAGACCAAATACAAGGAGAGTCTTCAGACTCAGATATGGACGAGCAGCCCCTTCAGAAAAGGCGCCGAAGGATGGCCATCATCGGCCCTCATGACTTTCAGCGGAGGCCGATGACCATCGGCGTTGCAATAAGGGAACCCGAGGAAGGCAATGGATCGCCGAGGGTTCCCCGGCCACCACCCCAATCACCTCAAAAGACCCCTCCGCCACCTCCTGAGATGGAGGTGGATCAGAGAACTCCCGAATCTAAGGGAGGGGTCCAAGAAGAAATTAAGGAGAGTGCTGCTGAGCACGAAAACAAGGATGTCGTGATGTCCAGTGCTGAGGGCTTCACGGCAGACATCGCAAGAGAGGTTGAGGCTTTCGTCCTCACCCCTAAAGAAGAGGAGGTCATAGTAATTGACTCCTCTGAGAAGGATGATGCTGAGCCATCCAAAGCTAATCAAGCTCCATCGTCATCCTTCCCTTCCTTCCAGACTCTGCAATCTGGAGAAATGGGTTTCTCGGCCCCCCGAATTCCAATCCCAGACCACATCTGGGACCTCATATGGGGTCAGAACCGAGAAGGAGCTGCAGCCTACTTCGGCGATTTTGCTGGCATGTCCGAAGTAGATAGGGCAAGGATCTGGTCGCTGAAGGCCACTGCTGGGATGGGCGAATCCAGCAGATCAGTTCCTGACCCAGCCAGGTCTAACCAACTGCTGATGATGCAGGTAATTTTCCTTGTCTTCATTTCCTCTGAAATTCAGCTCTATTTTTATTATTATAAATATATATATATGTTTTTTTTTTTTTTTTTTTTTTTTTTGTCTTCCTGTTTTCAGTTCGTGCACAATCAGACTCTCACTGTAGAGCTGATAGATACCCTACAAGATAGGGTAGACGCTGCTATGCACAACAAGAAGGTAGCTGAAGAGGAATTAAAGCTTGCTAAGCTG